AGGTGGTCGGCACTGACAGCCAAGCTAATAACGGGGTAGTGTCCTCTGACGAAGTGGTCTCTTACCTCTATTTAGTACATAGGCCGTTCCAGTTTTCTGTTTAGAAATATCGATCCCTCACATAGATGTACATGTCTTACTTGGCGTAAGTTATACCTAATGTTGTGATTTTATATCAAGCTTTTTCAACCTTGTTTTTCCTTACTTCCCATTGCTGCGATCCAATGTCGGGTACGGACGGAGCTAACGGAGCCAGCTTATAACGGAACAGTGACTCCTGCCGGATGGGTCTCCTACCTATTATTTAGTATATAGGCCGGTCCAGGTTTCTGGATAGAAATATCGATTCCTCACAGGGCAGAAATCATACACAAGATGTTGTGATTTTACATCAAGCTTTGCCAAAGTTATTTTTCCTTACCTCCCATTGAAGCGGTCCAGTGTCCGGCTCGGGCGGCCCCAGCTAACGGAGCGGTGAGTCCTACCGGAGCGGTCTCCTACCCGAACGGGGCCACCTTCACCTGTAATTCGGGATACACACTGAACGGGGTTGCTACTCCGACATGTCAAGCTGACGGAACGTGGAGTAACCCTGTTCCAACATGCCAACGTAAGATCGCCTACAAGTTAATATATGGTAGCACATTAAGCAGGTGGCACTACCGTTAGTACGTGCACACTTTAAAAAAGCAGGTCCGGCTGTGTTCCAACCTTCAATGGTATCAGCATATTTTGTATGCATGGTCTAGATTGAACATGGCCCTATCCCCGAATTGCACAGGCATTCATGAGCTGTGAAGGTTGAAGAAAGACAAAGACCTTTCTTTCGTCAATGCAGTGACCAACTGTTCTGCTTCAATGGCTCTAGTACATGGATGTCTTCGTGTATGTTTATTTATTTATTTCTTTTTTATTTAAACAGGGTAGAGACCTCAGTGCTATTTAAAACACTGCTTTTCAGGAACCTGAGACAACAAGTTACATGCACATGAAAATAATGAAACAAACACATTAAACAATACATAAAGTTACAAAACAACCCAGCGTCAAAATAAAATCGTTAACCGTAAATCAATGTTGTTAAGCCAGGCCGAGGTCAGAGGTCAGCAGTGTTGTTTAAAAACCTTCTTAAACGACAGGTAAGACGTGGCCACTCTAACTGTGGCAGGTAGGCCGTTCCAGGCAAATGCTCCCCTTTACGCAAACTTTCTTCGGCCGGATTCCAATTGGACTTTAGGAAGTTTTCTCGGTGCAAACACCTCCCTAGATGTGATGTCAACGTGATCATGCACGGTGGCAATTCATGGCCACACCGACAGAACTACATGTAGAACGCAACTGTTCTGGCATGTATGACTAAAGGGCACGATTTGCAAATTTTTTGCCAAGAAATATAGATTTATGACCAGTACTAGTATATACATACCGTACTCTGCAGAAGGAACCCAATGTGTTACTTTTCCCTGCTTGGACATAAACAACTTTTTTTTAATTTCCCTGCAATGTCCGGCACTGATAGCCCCAGCTAACGGACCAGTAACTGCTGCCGAAGTCGGTCTCCTATCTGTATTATAAATTTGGCCGATGCAGGTTTCTGCGATTCCTCACCTAGATGTACATATCCTACTTAGCAGAAGTCATACCCAAGATATTGTGGTTTTATATCAAGATTTGCCAAGCTTGTTTTTTCCTCACCTCCCATTGAAGCGGTCCAATGTCCGGCTCGGGCGGCCCCAGCTAACGGAGCGGTGAGTCCTACCGGAGCAGTCTCCTACCCGAACGGGGCCACCTTCACCTGTAACTCGGGATACACACTGAACGGCGTTGCTACTCCGACCTGTCAAGCTGACACAACGTGGAGTAACCCTGTTCCAACATGCCAAGGTCAGATCACCTGCAAGTAATAAATGGTAGCACATTTTATAGGTGGTCGGCACTACAGATAGTACATGTTAAATTAAAATAACAGCTCCGGAAGTGTCCCAACTTCCAATGGTATCAGCATGTGTTGTATGGGATGCGTGGTCTCGCCTGAAAGTGACCCTGTCCCCAAAATGTACAGGTAAAACAAAGACATATACATGTACCTTTCCTTTCTCAGTACAGTGACCAACTGTTCTGCTGTAATGGCACTATCACATAGTTGTCTTCATGTATGTTCTGTTGGTGCAAACACCTCCCTCAATGTGATGTCAACGTGAGACACGATTCTTGGCAATACCACTGCTCCATGACCAGGCTGGTAGAACTATATGTAGAATGCAACAGTTCTGACATGTATTGGTATGATTTAAGGGAATGCTTTGCAAATTTCTGCCAAGAACTATCGATTTTTTACCCGTATGTTTTTTTATTCATCAAAACATCAAAACATAATAAGGACAGTGAGGCACTGCACTGAAGTTTATAACTTATTTTAACAGCACCTCACAGCAAATTACAATTAACATATAAATACACAAAGTTGACATATCAGTGCGCCGTAGTCCCACCACCCAAAGACATTAATAATACTAATGCTAACAAGGTTATTTTAAAAAAAATCATTGAGCTGGGGTTGCTACTAAGGATTACGTAATAACCTCCTGTACCCTAATTGGCGGAAGCATATCCGCCGATCGGAGCTAGAACAGCTGGAAGAAAAAATTTTGGAGGTAGAAGCGTATCTCCAATCTAAGTTTGAGTGAGTTGCGCCGTTTTAAAGTTGTACATAGAGGGTAACAACAGGGAGCCTCTTAGAATAAGGTGCAGTTTTGCATTATCTGACATATTATTAAGGTTGACAAGATGACCAAGTAAATCTGCAAGGTTGCCAAAAAGTTCCGATCTCTGATGATTGTATATTGGACAGTGTAGCATGAAGTGCCCTACTCTGCAGAAGAAGTGCAATGTGCTACTATTCTCTGCTTCGACAAAAAATCCTTTTTGTACTTTCCATTGCAGAGATCCAATGTCCGGCACTGACGGCTAATGAAGCGATGACGTCTGCCGGAGCGGTCTCTTATCTGTATCTGGTGTAAAGGGCCGGTCCAAGTTTCTGTATAGAAACATCAGTTCCTCGCTTAGATGTACATATTCGAGTTGACAGAAGTCATACTCAAGATATTGTGATTTTATTTCAAGCATTGCCAAGCTTTTTTTCCCTTACGTCCCTTGCAGCGGTCCAATGTCCGCTTCGGGCGGCCCCAGCTAACGGAGCGGTGAGTCCTACCGGAGCGGTCTCCTACCCGAACTCGGCCACCTTCACCTGTAACTCGGGATACACGCTGAACGGCCAAGCTACTCCGACGTGCCAAGCTGACGGAACGTGGAGTCATCCTGTTCCAACATGCCAGGGTAAAACGACCTGCAAGTTTATACATGCTACATTTAGTACGTGGCCATAAAGTACGGATCTAAGTTTTAAAAAAAGCAGATCCGGAATTGTCCTAACTGGTATCAGCATATTTTGCATCGGATGAATGGTCTTGCTTGAAAGTGGCCCTATCCCCAAATTGCACAGGCATTCATGAGCTGTGAAGGTTGAAGAAAGACAAAGACCTTTCCTTCCTCGATGCAGTAACCAACCGTCTCCTACCTGTATTTAGTATATAGGTTGCTCCAGGTTTCTGTACAGAAAAATCGATTCCTCTCATAGATGTATATATCCTAGTTGGCAGAAGTCATACAAAACATATTGTAATTGTATATCAAGATTTGCCAAGCTTGTTTTTCCTCGCTTCCCATTACAGCGGTCCAATGTCCGGCCCGGACGGCCCCAACTAACGGAGCGGTGAATCCTACCGGAGCGGTCTCCTACCCGAACGGGGTCACCTTCACCTGTAATACGGGATACACACTGACCGGCGCTGCTACTCCGACATGTCAAGCTGCTGGAACATGGAGTCATCCTGTTCCTTCATGCACACGTAAGATGACACATAGTTACATATCAACTTCTAGCAAAAGGAAGTTTTAAACTATAGTGGCAAGAGCATGAGAAGGGAGGCCACGATATAAACGTTTAAACGTTGGCAAACAGACGTCTACTAGCTACTGTCGTTCTAGATAAATTTTGTATACAGTGCCCATATTTAGTATATATTACCTGTTGTGCAGGATTCGGTAAAGACGTATTTGTCACCTAGATATACATGTCACACACAAAATATTGTTATCGTATATCCAGTTTTGACAGAAATTGTCTTCTTTAGTATCTTTAACATAGAAATACATCTCGGTAATAACAAAATATTGACAATTTCAGCGAGACCATGTCCGACGTTGACGGCCCCAACTAACGGAGCTCTGAGTCCTCTCGGGCCACACGCCTTCCCGACAGTGGTCACCTTCACCTGTAACTCGGGATACGTACGGAACGGCGCTGCTGATACGACATGCCGAGCTGACGGAACATGGAGTAATCCTGTTCCAACATGCACAGGTGTGATGAGTCTGACAGTCATAAATACAGGCAGTTTTTAGCTACTAGTATCAAAATGTGGTATTTTAGCTCCTACCCTATTCTGGTGGAAAAGTACGAAGGGGAGGCTCTTTTCAAGATTCAATCGTTGTCAAAAAAGTTTTTTTCTGACGGAAGTCGTTCCATTTGACTTCAGTGCATTGCATTTTGAACATAGTACCATTTGTCAGCATATAATAACTGTATGTACCTAGGTATCTGAACATGAATATTTCGCCGTTTCAGTTGGACAATGTCCGTCTCTGACGGCCCCAGCTAACGGAGCTATCAGTACCACAGCGACTTCCTTCAATACCGTGGTCACCTTCACCTGTAACACGGGATACACACTGAACGGCGCTACTTCGACGACCTGCCAAGACGGAACATGGAGTAATCCTGTTCATACATGCACACGTAAGATGAATTTGGTACTAATATACGCAAACAATTTCTAGCGAAATGAATTTTTGACGCCTATACTATAGTGGTGATAATATGGAAAGGATTGACCCTTTCAATAGTTGATCCTTGGCAAAGAGACGTCTACTTAACTTACGATAGGCGACGTCGCTCTATATAGAACCTATAATGAATGAATGAATGAATGAATGAAGACCCTTTATTGTACACACATACCCACTGGGTTAAGTACAGGTCACAAAAAAGGATGGAATATAGATAACGTTACATACATACATCGTCAAGTAGCTACAATCAAGTAAATTCGGTTTCTTCTCGTTTCTTAGTAATGGCAAAAATGTAAGAACAGATATGTTTCAATACAGAAGGTTTGTCTAAGCTCATTAGAAATAAAAATTCATCTGTACAGCTTAGATGTATAAAGAAGGGGAACATAGATTGTATCAGATTATAAAGATCTGCTCTCTCTTTGTGGTATAGTTTACATTCCGTTACAAAATGTTTCCAATCTTCGATTCTTCCTAGATCACAGTACCGACATATTGGTTGTTCTAGGGGAGTGCGGTTATGTCTACCGGTTTCGATGTGTAATTTGTGGCAACTAATTCGGAGTTTTGTGACGGCAGTTCTGTGCCGTAGATAATCAATATTCAGATACTGTTCTTCAGCATAGGTGGATTTGAACAGTCTGTAGGACCTCAGCTTGTTTTTGGCAGTTCCACCTCTGTTATCATTGTAAATTTCTTTTGGAAAAGTTTGAAGGTAGATGTCTTTTAAACGCTGATTAATGGAATTAGTGATTAGAGAAGTATTTTTGTTGGGTGACAGGGGACAATGCCATATATAGCCAAAACCGCACTCCTCCAGAGACTTCCGAACTCCTGATGCCCAACATTTGGCACCAGCTTTGTCTAGCTCTATTTGACAACAAAGAGCATCTGATAGAAAACTGTCTGCTGGTACTTTCTGGCGAATTCTGATAAAGTGTTTGATAGCGTTTAGGGAGGCTTCCACCTGAATGGGAAACCTCCCTAGTTCCACATATAATGCCTGTTAGACAGGTTTGTGCCCAGAGAGATGGATTCCTCACCTAAAAATACGTATCCTACACAGCACAAGGCATACATAAGATGTTGTGTTTTCATTTTGAACTATATGTTTGACAGGGATTGTTTCTGTTTGTACTTTCCCTTGCAGCGGTCCAATGTTCGGCCCGGACGGCCCCAGCTAACGGAGCGGTGACTCCTACCGGAGCGGTCTCCTACCCGAACGGGGCCACCTTCACCTGTAATACGGGGTACCGACTGAACGGCGTTGCTACTCCGACGTGCCAAGCTGACACAACGTGGAGTAACCCTGTTCCAACGTGCGAACGTAAGACGACCTGTAAAGTTGATTTTTATTCCGCCAATTGCAATATCCATCGAGTTGTAGTATGCAGACATCCACCGGATAGTAAGAGGATTTAGAAAGAAAGAGCGAGACACGTGGATGAACATTACTCAAGATTAAGAAAATTGGCAGGCGTTTCAAGCAGGATCCCGTATTTTGTCAATGACGAAAAGTACTTGATTCTACTACAAACGTTTGACAGTTATCCAGCATCCTTCCGAGGCAGGGTCGGTGGCGCGGTATTCTATAGACGGTTGCAGAGGTATAGAATACCGCGCCACCGACCCTGCCTCGGGAGGATGTTATCCAGTTGCTTGTCAAGAGTAACAGTTTCCTTATGGAAATCACGAGACCTTTTTACATTCAAAACATGATAGCATATCCTTCATGTAAGATCAGAGGGGTAATTTCTCCAATCTTCAGAGGGTTATTGACCATTTCAGTTGTACAATGTCCGGCCCGGACGGCCCCAGCTAACGGAGGGGTGAGTCCTACCGGAGCGGTCTCCTACCCGAACTCGGCCACCTTCACCTGTAACACAGGATATCAACTGAACGGCGTTGCTGCTCCGACCTGCCAAGCTGCCGGAACGTGGAGTCATCCTGTTCCAACATGCACACGTAAGACGAGTTTGATACTAACATGTAATTTCTTGCAAAATTGAGTTTGTTACGCGCTCACACTAAAAACACAAGAGATGTCGTCCATTTTTGATATTCAAACGTTGTCAAAAAGACGTCCGTTTGGTATTAAAGGATGTCTCGCGGCCAAGCTGACAGAACATGGACTAAATTCTATCACGAAAGATTGAATCTTCGCCGACATACATACATACATACATACATACATATCTTACTCAACAGAAGGCATACATAAATATAAGATGATGTGTTTTCATTTCTAGCTATTCGTTTGACAAGAATTGTTTCTTTTTGTACAGCGGTACAATGTCCGGCTCGGGCAGCCCCAGCTAACGGAGCGGTGAGTCCTACCGGAGCGGTCTCCTACCCGAACGGCGTCACCTTCACCTGTAACACGGGATACCAACTGAACGGCGCTGATACTGCGACTTGCCAAGCTGGCGGAACATGGAGTCCCAACACTGTCCCAACGTGCGATGGTAAGACGACTTTCAAGTTGATGTTTGCTAGGCTTGCTAGCATATTATTAACTGAATTGTAGAACATTTACCATATAGTTAAGACAATATTAGAGGGCAAACGCGCCATTTCACAATATTGAAATGATGGTAAACAGACATAAAAAATATTTATTCATATCTATTCCTTTTGAACACATTATGTGCAGAAACCCCGTATTTTAAGGTTTTTAATCACTACAGGACCATTCATAGTTAACATGTACTTCCAGCTACGACGTTTGGCGACTACATGTATAAATATTTGACAGATCGCTCAACGAATCACATACATAAAGGGCGAATTGTTTACGTTATGGTCCTTTTCTTACTTACAGTCATACTTTTTCATCTTGCGCCATATTTCAGTTATGAAATCAAGGGTCAAACAAATCCAAATTTGGTCGCAGCACGGTTGCATCGCGATCGCCGCCCAACTGGAAAGGGGATGTAAATCTAGGCTACCCTGATCCAGATGTAAGATGAAAGCCTAAATAGCTTGCATATGAATGATATCTAGATCCCTTAAAGCGTAAGCTAATCCTTCAATAATGAGTCCCTTGCCCTTCCTGACAAACCTGAGGAAGGTCGGGGTTTCTCCAAGTGTTGTTTTTGAATCCTAATCCGGGGTTTGTCCTCAGTCATGTGGCCATAATGCCTTGCTAGATGGCTAATTTTGGAAATAGCCAGGTACATTCGACTTTCCAAGCTGGTTATTAATTTACATGTCTACATGTTTTCTTGCGCATTGTCCTTCTGTATTTGTGTTTTTCGTCTACCTTTGTCGACTTATTCTAGACAGCATGATGTATCATCCAGGTATGTCATCGACGTTAAAAGCAACGACCCTGAAATTGCTTTAACCTTGCCTAGATTAGGGGTTACAAAAGGGGTTCTTGATATGCGTATTTGCTGAACTTCTTGACACAAATACAGGTAGTGTTGCAAGATTTAGACCTAACTTCAAATCATTGGATCATTGGTCAGAGTTACTCTATCTTTTCAGTTAGGATACTTTCATAGAAAGAATTGTGTGACTCGAACACTGACGTGGCCTCCTAGCTTCCATACCCTTTAATTGCCAATATATGTTGTCTAACCGACCTCAAGGCAAAGCTAGTAAGTTTGGGATACACCCTACCTTTGGGGGCATATTTTGCCCGGGCAGGTAGTTCAGACGTGCACACAACATCGACACGGCGCGCGTCTACATCGAAGTTCTGCGCGCTCCTGCTCTGAGCATCAGTCGGCCGCTGAGACATTGTGCCTCGGCACACGGTGCCTATCTTGTCAGCCAGGGATATCAGCTTTTCAGGTTGTGCGACGGATTTCGG